ATACCTAGGGATGCAGTGGGTACCTGGTAAATGTGTCATCAAAATTTTACGATTCAATTTTTTTTTATGGGCTCTTGAAATTTGATGATCCGGGGTGAATGGATCGAACAAAGAGCCGAAGAGCCGATCTGATGGGGGCTTTTCCGGTAGAAGGGGAATTTTCTCCCCGACAATTTTGACATTATTCGATACGTAGGGATGCAGTGGGTACCTGGTAAATGTGTCATCAAAATTTTACGATTTAATTTTTTTTTTTATGGGCTCTTGAAATTTGATGATCCGGAGAGAAATCGTGTATGGGTGGCAAGGTGTAGGGGGTTTTTCCGGCAGGAAGAGACTTTCCTCGGGTTATGTTTTCGTTGATTGACGTATTGTTCCTAGAAAATAGGGAGGATGCTGGAAAACAGAAAGAAATAGCGGAGAAAATTCGAATAGTTGAGTGAGACAAAGTGAACGGGTGATGGCCGATGTAATGGACCACTAGACAAGGTACGAGTTAAAGGATTCTGATACATGTTTCTTAACCAAAATTTCACGTAAAACACGACTCGCGCAACAGAAATTACTGAAACCAACTCCTAACGAAGATATTAACGTTTTTATTTCACATTGGTTACGAGGAATTTGAACTGCCCGCTCACGAGAAACTCAAAGCTCTACGTGAGTCAAATCGTGCACTACAACGGTTTCAACAAGCTTCTCAATCGAGCAATGGTCATTGCCCACCACGTGTTGTTCAAACTATAAACAATTTGCCATAGCTGAGCCTAAGCGTCAAGATTGAGGTTGCCAGATTTTTATATCGCAGAGACTGCAATGATAAACGTTTAGCGCGCGATGTGAATCACGTAGAGCATTGAGTTTTCATGAGCGGGTGGTTTCAATTCACTCATCAAAAATCATTAAATATCTTCGTAAGGAGTTGATTGCGGTAATTTTTGTTGTGCGCATCGTGTTCTACGTGAAATTTTAGTTACGAAACATGTATCAGAATGCTGAAAATTCGTACCTTGTCTAGTGGTCCATTCACGTTAGGCAGCGCTGCGGCAGCGCGGCGGTGGGTAGAACTAGTTTTGCGGCACCCTCTTGTTCCGCGGAAAGCGGGAGGCCCGGGTGTGTTGGTCTATGCGCAATCGGATACGAGTCGGATTGATTCAGCCCGGTAAAAATTGAAAGAAAAATATCTATAAGTTTGCCAGGGAATTTTTGTCTTATCAAAGAAAATTTTGCAACGCCTGGAGGTTCATACGGTGTTTTTCCTTAGCACAGAGCAGAGATAAGATTCAGACGAATGTTCATCATCTTTACCCATCCTTCTAAAAATCATCCTTCCAGCCGCAAAAGATTTTGGGCTATTTTTCTTTCGGCCTTATCTTAAAATCGTAGTAATGTAATTTCATCCATTTGAAGAATGAGTATAAGAAAAAAACCAAGCGTTCGTCTTCCTAAAGAGAAAGTTAGGTAACAATATCTATGCATGTTGTGGTATCGGAAAGATCAGTTTATATATATTCACTTTTTCTCTGCTTTAGAATTTCAAGAGGGAATAGTGGACGGAATAATTTTTTTCAAATATATTCTAAGACAGTAACACAGGGACAAGATAGTCGTTATGAATGTTACTTCTTAACTGTGATAGCTCAAACTTTGAAATGTTTTTTAATGATTTGTGTAGTTTTAGAAAATGACACTGGTACTTCCAGTCGAGTGATTTTTGTATTAAATCAGCTTAAAAAAAGATGGATCTAATAGAAGCAGAACAGATCCAGATTTTGTTTCTAAACAATTCTAAAGTGAGAGTGTTCTTTGAAGAGAAGCAAATGTATTGCCATACATCGCAGCTCTCTATTTGAACTGCCAATTTTTTTTAATAAAAGTTTCAAATGGATTTTATTTTAGTGATTGTACCTTATTGTGTTGCATTTAGACTAAGAATTAGACGATTTTGTATAACTTATAGGTAATTTATTCTTAGTAAAAAATTACAATCTGAATGTACAAATAACAAATTACATGAGAAATAAATTATTATAAATATCTTATATTCTTTTAATTGTTCTTATTTTTGCACCCGTTGTTTTCATTAAGTAATGGCACTTTCATTCACAAGAAGGATTTAAAAAAAAGGAATTGGAAAAAAAAAAGAAAATTATGCAAACGAAACATTTAAAAAGTCACTTTTTATAAGTAGAAAGTTCTGCTATAACAAAAATGTAAGTTCTTGTACAACAAGAAGAATTATTTTTATTAGTAATAATTGTTTCGTATTTTTTTTTTGCAAAGATTCTTTCAAAGATCGGTAGAAATTAATTTCAGGTTCAAAGTCTCCAAATGACAGAATTTAATTGTAATTTTAGAGCCTTCATCCTATTTTCCAAAAACATTAAAAATTTACTTTACAATTCCGCCAACAATTGAATAAATAATTTTTTTTAAAAAAAATATTGAGATGGAGAGTCTCACACAATGCCACTTGGCTTGCAGTGTGCGCCGATCGATAGGTTTCCCTCCAACACCTTTGTGCATTGCAAAATATTCGATTTAATATTTAGAGCACCCTGGTGATTTTTTATCCCATTAATTATCTCCACCCTGCAAAGCGTTATTTTTTCTTATTGCATCGCACTCTATTCAATTACATATGTCGGGTGTTGCCGAAAGATCCCACTCCGGCCTGTGATGCTCCTTTGTTGAATCCCATCTGTAAGTTGAGGTGGCCCTCAGACGCTCTCAGTTGTTCCTCTGTGAAAGTGCGTTCGTTCTTGTCGGCCATCTTTGGTCCCAACCTGGGTCCTGTGTACTCGGGGTGTTTCTGTGTCTGTGAACACAAGAAACAAGTTTGTCACGAAGTGTATGCCAGTGGCGTGATAGCGAAGAGATTAGTAAGTGCAAAAATGAAGTTTTGAGGAAATGCACGGAGAAAAAATCCTCGTGCGTGGGACCCGAAATTTAGGTCATATGGATCTCTGAAGTTTTCGGATCGAGCATCTGAACACTTTAGGTCTAGCTGTCGAGGTTCGGATCACACATCTGGAACTTCAGTTCTTACATCTGAAGTACTTCAGATGTGAGAACCGAAGTACTTCATATGTAAGAACTGAAGTTTCAGATGTGTGATCCGAACCTCGACAACTAGACCTAAAGTGTTCAGATGCTCAATCCGAAAACTTCAGAGATCCATATGACCTAAACTTCGGGTCCCACGCACGAAGCTGTTTTCTCCGTGTGGGCTCCGAAGCATCTGAGCGGAAAATTGTATTGAAAAAGCCTCTGTTCTTTGTTGTTCATTGTTTTCAACTCGCCTTCGGCTGCGTCCGCTGCAATTGTTGTTAAGAATATGTTGTGCGTGCTGATCTCAGTTCATTACATACTTGACTCTCTGAAGGCGTTTTATGTGCGAAAGTAGAGCACCTTATCGGGGAACAACAGAAGTGAGATTGAACGAATCGCTCAATCCCTACTTCGTTCGTTCTCCGACAGATTTCGCTATTTGCGCACATAAAACGCCTTCAGAGAGTCAAGTATGTAATGAGCTGAAATCGGCACGCACAACATATTCGTAACAGCAATTGCTGCAGACGCAACAGAGGGCAAATTGTTCAGTTATAAGATAGGTAGTCTGCATTTAACGAGAGATTCGAACGAAAAAAAACGTGAACCGATCAACACCCAAACGAGTTCAATTTGAGAGGCTTGAAGGACAAGGAACATAAGTGCAGTTTTTGAAAAAATGGAGCTATTAATGATGTGAAGTAAAACTAGTCTTAATGCATAATCTTTGAAAAATTCGCTCCCAAATTCCAATTTGTAAGCATCAAAAAGTTAGTTTGAACTTTCTTTTTGCCATGAGGATCCATGTAATTTCGAAACTTCAAACACGTATCTCTCGAAATATCAAAAACTTATGCGCCTTGTCCTTCAAGTCCCTCATCTCACTAATGTACGTCAATTTTAAAAGTTTCCTTTTTAAAATTCAAAAGTTTGTTTTTTCTTTAGTCGTTACTCCTATTACAAGGATTCATCATTCTTTTTAGAAATACATAAAATTGTAAGTATAAGCGGCAATTTGGCAATGTCTAAACGCTGATTCGACGTTGTTTTTTGGCACAGCATGAAATGATTTTGCCAAGAATCACTTACCAGTCTCCCCAACGCGTAAAGGCACAGAGTAACTTGCGGTATGTTCCGCCGCTCGAATAAGTCAGCGGTCTGGAAAATTTCTTCCTCTGGAACGCCATAATTCTTCAGTGCTGCTTGGAATCTGTCAGACAAACAGTTTTATAGATTAGTTATGTCATAGAGAAACAACAAAAATAATGAAAATCAGACCATAAATAGAAAGAGGAACCTCGGTGCACGCAGGGATAAGATTTTCAAGAGAGAAATTTTTATCGAGTTAAGTTGAAAAATTGGATACACAAATTGATTGCTAGTGGACGCACAGGTCGTATAGACAGTTAGTTGGAGACAACATTTTTCGGTTTTCGGCTTCTCATATGCGAAAACAAAAGTTGAGCTACTAGCCGACTTTACAAACATTGTGCATATTTTTTTTTTTTTTTTTTTTTTTTTTTTTTTTTTTTTTTTTTTTTTTTTTTTTTTTTTTTTTATTGAAGCATGGCCTGAATCGCAATCACTGCATATTTGTAGATTCGGCCAATAGCTCAACTTTTGTTGGTTAAAGATATAGCCAACGTCCAACGTGCGTTGAAATCCAAAAAATTGGAAATCTCAAAACAGAGGGAAAAAGCTCGTTCGAGCACAATATTCCCTCAAAGAGTTACGCTGTTTGGTGCAACACTAATGGACCACTAGACAAGGTACAAATTTCAGCATTCTGATACATGTTTCTTAATCAAAAATCGAACACGACGCGCACAACGAAAATTACCGAAATCAACTCCTTACGAAGATATTTAATGATTCTTGATGCGTGAATTGAAACCACCCGCTCATGAAAACTCAATGCTCCCACGTGATTCACATCGCGCGATAAACGTTACCATGACAGTCTCTACGATATACGAATCTGGCAACCTCAATCTTGACGCTTTGGCTCAGCTATAGCAAATTGCTTATAGTTTGAACAACACATGGTGGGACATGATCATCGCTCGATTGAGAAGCTTGCTGAAACCGTTGTAGTGCGCGATTTGACTCACGCAGAGCTTTGAGTTTCTTGTGAGCGGGTAGTTCAAATTCCTCGTAACCAATGTGAAATAAAAATGTCAATATGTCCGTTAGGAGTTGGTTTCGGTAATTTTCGATGCGCTAATCCTGTTCTACATGAAATTTTGGTTAAGAAACATATATCAGAATACGTTAATTTGTACCTTGTGTAGTGGTCCATTACGACCATTGAGGAGAGAACCATTCAGAATGAGCTTTCTCCCTCTGTATTGAGTTTTCCAGTTTTTTGGATTCTAACGCTCGTTGGCTACAATTCCAAAAAATTGGATCCCCAGAAACTCTAAGCTATTCGATGTCCAGAGGAATAATATTATTCCTCAGAACTACTCGCAACTTAGTCCAGACACTCGCTTAAGTTCATTTTTGTACCAATAAGTAGACATAGAGGATATGAAATCGCATTTTAACTGATGAAGAAATTTTGCACTCTTGACACTACCCACGGACTACATCTGGATGTCATTTTTGCAATAAGGAACTAAATTGTATGACCCATTCGTGAAAGTCCCTATCCGCGCACAGCAAGTAATAGCACATCCGTTGTCTCTAAAATGAGCCGAAAATTGTAGTTCCTTATTGCGAAATATAGTTCATTCAGCGATCAGGAACTAAATGCCATTTTCGGCTCATTTTGAGTAAAAAGATGTGCCAAGATTATATTGATCTGCCGTTGACAGATACGCCCCCTTGGCGCGCCAAAAACGCGCCCCTCTGACAGATAGCAAAATAAGAAGAGAGCCAAAATTACGACCATTGGAAAATGCGGGAAATTTCTTAAATGAACGGAAGAAGAGGGAGTTAGGAGTAAAGAAAGGTGGTTTTACGCATGATAGTGGGGAACATAGATCCAAGAACTACTTTCTGAAGCGTAAACACTTATCTGTGAAATTTTCACCCTTTTGTTGATATACAGGCGCTTTATCATCCCCCTCCTTTATTCGCTATGTGTAACTCTCTTAGAGGCGAAGGTCAGTTCGATTTTTAGACATACGCACCCTTTAGACCTCTTGAGAGACCTTAAACTACTTTATACATATTTCTTCCTTTTCAAAATGAATATTGATTTGGGCATACCATAGCATATCTCGGGCAAACTTAACCTTAATTTATCTCGAAATTCAAAACTAAGAGATGTCTAAAATGGAAACGCGATACAATTATTCCCGCATGATGGGTGTCCACATTGCATATGAAAAATGTAAGACGCGATGCCGTGAGTCGTGAACTCGCAATGCTCTGCTCTAGTTTGAAGCAACATTACAAATAAGACAAACGCAAACAAACACAATATGGAAATAAAGCGAGGGAAAGGATGCGCGTTAACGACGCGACGGCGCAGAGATACAACTATTCGTACTTGATGGACGTCCGTGCTGCATCTGAAAAATTGAAGGCACGACGACGCGAACCTTGAGCTCTCAATGCTCTGCTTTATGCTGTCAATTAGGTGTAGCTCATATTCGGGAGAAAAGTTAAAAAAGAGGCCGGAATACGTCTTTACCGCCTTAGGCTGTGTTGATACTCGTTCTTTCTTCTTTTTTCAGGTTCTTGTCTGATTCTTTTCTAGGAAGGATTTGCACCCCACGTCTTAAGCTCGTGTAAACCGCAGCACTGGTTCAGTTCTTTTGGAAATAATGGTGCTTGGATGCGTCTAGTGGCTTTAATTGTTTATGTTTTCTTTAATTTCAGTAGTCTGTCGGTTACTAAACTTCGTTCAGTTTCGCAATTTTTACTCTTTACGATTAAACCTAAAAATAGCGTAAACTTGTGCTGCTTTGGCTAAATTTTCTGAACCCCTCTCCACACACGGGATGCCTTATCAGGAAATATCACTTTACGCCCCTTCAACCAGCCAGGGGTCTACGCCCTCAGATGCATGCCAGTCTGACCCTGTAGTCTCTCATTGAAAAATTCAGTCCAATTGAACGACGTAAGTAAGCAACTAGAATTTCGGATAATTTTTCCCCCTCGAAATTACGTTTATTGAACTGCAAACTCAAAACCGCTATAACTTTGGCTTGGTTTGACTTTTTGGCGATCAAATATGGGTAGGATCATCAACATCTGAGCAATTATCTTCAATCGAAATCCTATCGAAATTTTATCTCTTTCGATAAAATTGAAATTCTGTCTCAATTTATCACGATTTTTTTTTTGATGATATTGCGATAAATCGCCGTCCAATAAATCTCGATTTTATTTCAAATGTATGCGATGAAATGGCAATTTATCCGATCATATATTTAACATTTTCCGATCAAATCATGACTCATAGAAATCATTTTTACTTGGGATATCTTGGTCATACGCTTTTTTGTCGTTTATATCTATCTCTGTCTCTCTCGCGCTCATTGATCAGATGAGGCATTTTTCGGCTCCTCGAAAGGAGTTCATCGTGACCACACGCACAGTCGCAAGAATACAAGCTCCGGTTCTGGAAGAACTATAAGGAAGCACTTTAACTGTATATTTTCAAATATTTACATTTGGGGTCGGGGATTAGGAGGGATAAAGATATAATTTTCATTTTTTTTTCCTGTTCCAATTTTTCTTTTAATTAGCCGGCTTGACGCTTTGCCAGTCTGTCTGGACCGAGTTATGAAACGGGAAGCGACGTACAGTGGAGCGGGCTTTTGGCAGAGGCTGGACATTATTTTTTCTCCACTAAAACTGAAAATTTCAAATGTAACCATGTCACTTTTTAGATTTTCTAGGCCGCTTCTAGAGGAAAACTTTGCGAGAAAACCAAAGGAACCATTTTTGAAATCTCAACTTTTGTATAGACAGAGTTAAAGCTTTAAAAGTCTCCACATTTTGTCCGATTTTTCTCATTGAAATGTTCCATTGTACGCAGCTTTCCGTGTGCCGGCAATCATCAAAGTTGCCAGCTCTCCGAAGTTATTTCGTGATTTTGAGTCAAGTTAACGAAGTTAGTCTCGTCATAAATGCGCTTGATCAATGATACGACTTTTCGAACGTGTAGGATGCCGTCTGCCTACACTGAAAAAAAATCTCGGTGTATTTACTAAGAAAAGGGTAAAATTACCAAGAATTCAGGGTTCTATTTGATCCCAGTTTTTTCTTGGTAAAATTACCATTTATGGAATTGATAATTTTACCGAGAAATCTCGGTAAAATTATTGAACTTTCTCGGTAATTTTACTGGACCTTGGTAAAAACGCCAATATTTTTTATCGACTATGGTAGAATTACCGAGGTAAAATGGCAAAGTTACCGGGAATTGATTACCAATAAAAGTGGTATTCTTACCTGAAAAAACAGTAAAAATACAGGTTCTTAGGTAAGCTTACCAGTCTGTCCTAGTAAAATTACCAATAAATCGGTAAAAAAAGTGAGATGGTAAAGGTACCAATGGACCTTGGTAAAAACGCCGAGAATTTTTTTTCAGTGCAAGCCCAAGTTTGGACGATTTGTTTGCAGCTCATAAAACCATATCGATGGCCAAAGTGCAGAACCACGTGCCTCGCATGCAACTTTGCAGACTTGCTGTTATACTTTATTTTACCATTTGAAAACTAGTCGACTCAATTTCTTGACAACTTCCGTAGATTTATCCCCTAAAGCATCAAAATATTCCGCAGAAATTTCCAGTTACATAGCTTACTTGTTTTTTTTTCCAAAAAAATAAATAAAATAAGATCAGAGATTTTGAAACACCGCGATGGAGATACGCGGTATCGCACTTTAGCCGTCGATATCTCAGAACGAGAAGGAATTTCAATTTTCCATGTTCGAGAATCAAAATCGGATTTATTGCAATCAGACACTGGAGAGAGTTACCTATCCATTGAAAATTTAAACCTCAAACTTTGATCTACCTTATTTTTTTATTTATTTTCTAATCCAAGCCCAAGATGGCGACTTTATAATAGAACCTTGTAGCCGGCATGACATACAGCACAACGAATATTGACCAAGAAAGAAACATTGGAGATATCTCTTCTGTGCTACCGTGCTAAAGAAGAACGCCGTATGAACATTCGAGAGTTGCCAAATTTCCTGCAATAAAATGTTTATCTTGGAGGAAATTTATGAATATATTTCCTTGAA